CTACTCCTAGCAGAGCAGGACCAGCAGCAAACCACAAAGGGTCTCTTTTGTCTGCAGGGCAAACTTATGAGACAAAAGACCCTTGCTAGTGGATAGGCTGGAGTTTTTGCCCAGAGCAGTGAATAGCAGACAAGACCTGTAACCTGACTAAGCCAATTCAGCCATGCTGATCTCCCACCTCCTTTATGAATAGATAATGGCCACTGAGGAAGTTTAAAGAACATTAGCTGCCTCCTTGCAGCCTTGCTACCAGATTAAAATAGTTCCAAATTCATACAAAAAAAATTATATAATAACCAGTGATTATCTGGCAGAGAACCATTCCTATAACTTGTTCTATAAACACAGTGAATGCCCAGCTGTCTGCTTTGTTTTTGTTTTGCTGTTGTAAAATTACAAACATCCTGCAGGGGAGGCAGGCACAGGACTCCAAGGGATGAGTGGCTTCTGCCCCCCTGACGGTTAATACTGGGTCACCAGAAACCTTCCTGACAGCTGGACACAGCGCCATCAAAGGGTCAGGCCCACACACCTCTCCACAGATGGTCAGGCACTCAGGGTTTTGTCCATCTTGTCCACTAGTGCTTAGACCCTCAAGCTCTTCAGGAAAGAAACCTGATCACACTCTCTTCCCCTGTGGCAGCATGTCCCCTGACTTGGCCACCAACATTTCCTCCTGGCCCATCAAGAGTTTGAGCATAATTCTCCTTCCCTTGAATCTAGGCTGGCCTTATAATTGGCTGTGACAGTGGAAAGTGCCGGAAGTGACACTGCCGATCTTATTCCTGACCTCGTCTCCCGCAGCTTCTGCTTTCACCCTCTTGAAAGCCACTCACCATGTACAGAAGTCTGGAGAAAGAGGCCCAGGGAGAGAGTGGATAAGGCACCAGGCCAGCGAATGAGGCTGTCTTAGGGCCTGCAGCTGTAAGTGAACCGCCCCAGCAAACAACCCCCAGGAGCAGACATGGCCATCTCCACGAACGGCAGGATTGGGAGCAAAGAAGTAGTTGTTGTTCCCACCCCCTGAGCTTTGAGGTGGTTTATTTCACAACAGTGGATAACTGAACATACCTTTCCTGCCTGCCTCAGCACAAGGCACATACTCAGTCATAGCACACTAGGTTCAGATTTTGTTTACTCTTGGAACCCTCTCTCAATCTCTCCAGATGTCTCTCCTTTATAATATGCGAGGGTTGGTGTCCCATGCATGGCTCTGTGAGGGCTCTGACAATATCATATTATAGCAATGGCCATTCATGTGCCATGCCTGTGTCTCCCCATCCATTTGACACAAGGACAGGAAACACGTTATATTCATATTTGCATACCCTGTGCCTTAAATATTTAGTCAAGGGATAACTCAATGAATAAATAAATGGAAGGTGAGATACGAGTCAGAATGTAGACAGCCCTGATAGGACGGTCTTACAAAACCTTAACTTTTAAACCAACAATACAACAGAAACAAAATCCATAAGCAACCCAAGACCACATGTCAGTCTCCATTCCCAAGAAACTGGCCAGGACCCTTAATCCAGGCAGACTTACTCAGCTTCCTTTGGGGAGGCAGCTAAAAAAGCTGGCAAAAGGCCAAGATTCAGCAGTCAAGAAAGAAATGAGGACTGGGGATGTAGCTCTTGCTACGTGCAGTGCCTGCATGGCAAGTGCCCTGAATTCGAGTCCAGGTGAAAGAAAGAAGAAAGAGAGAGAGGGAGAGAGACTGAGGGGGGGGAAGAAAGAAAGAAAGAAAGAAAGAAAGAAAGAAAGAAAGAGAGAGAGAGAGAAAGAGAGAGAGAAAGAGAGAGAGAGAGAGAAAGGAGCCAGGTGTGGTGGCTCTTGCCTGTAATCCCAGCACTCAGGAGGCTGAGGCGGGAGAATTGCTGTGTGATTGAGGCCAACCTGGGCTACATAGTGAGTCTAAAAGTGAAAAAGACAGAGACAGAGAGGAGTAGGGAGCATGAGCATGCAGGCTGGGCCTGCTCTGCTATGATGGACTTGGACGCACAGAGGAGATAGCAGGGTCACAACCAAGAACTATGGGAGTCACCACTGTTTGGTAACCCAGGTGAACACTTCTGCTTTCTGACAGACTCTCACTTGTTAATATTTATGTCAGCATTTTTCTGCCTCAAAAATGCACTTCTACAAGATAAACAAATGTAGTATGGTTGTAAATGGAATATTACTCAGCCATTAAAAGGAAAGAAATTCTGGAAAATTCTGTAATATGGGTGAAGTTTAAAGACCCTATGCTAAGTGATGTAAGCCAGACAAATGTTGTCTGATTCCATCAATATGAGGAACATCCAGCAGAGAACTTCATAGGGACAGAAAGTAGAATGGGGGTTGACTGGGGATGAGAGGAGGGAGGAGTTGGTATCTACACACATCACATCTTAGCCCTTTTTACTTCCCCCTCCCCACCTATCTTCCCTCTCCCTCCTTCCCTAGATCCACTTCTGATTTCCAAAAGGTGGACAGTTATTTTTCTAATGTATTCAGAGGTTTGGTTTAGAAAAATTTAAAAGTTCTGGAAACGGTGGTGGTGATTGCACAATAATGTGAATGCATTTGATGTCACAGAGCTGTACACTTAAGATGGGAAATTTGGGGTTATGCGTATTTTATTATAATTTTTAAATGTGTCATTTGTTTAACTGGGAAGGCAGTACTGGGTACTGAGCCCAGGGGGTTCTCAGTGAGCTACATCCCTGGCCCTTTTTGGTTTTTAATTTTGAGACTTTTTTGCTTTTTTATTTTGAAATAGGGCTTCCCTAAGTCCCTTAGTTGCCCAGCCTTATGATCCTGCTTCAGCCTCCCACAGTGCTATGATTACAAATATGTACTGCCACACTCATCCTTATTTGATAAATGAGAAAAATATCTCTCTCTCGCTCTCATCTTCTATACCTCATCTCAAATTTTCCATTAAATTTGGTACATATATGCCACCTGAAATAGTAGATGTAAGCTGAAGATAATCATTATTAAGAAACCAAGAAAAAGAAAAGCTCTCCTGGGATTTGCAAGGTGGCAATGCAATGATGAACTCTGTAAATGCCACACCTCCCAGTAATCACTGAGGTCCACCCCTCACAGGAACACAAGCCTGCCATTCCTGCCAAGTGAATCAGTGAGGTGGAAAATGTTAATTATTTGAGTAGGCATTTCAGAATAACTCTGGAGGGGAAAAATCTGTGACTAAAAGTAAGTAAAAAATAAAAATTTTAAAACCATTGGTTCCTCTATTTCTAATTGGACTTTCCCATTGGTTTGAGAAAATTGGGTCTGATTCTGAGCCTCCACTTCTGTCCCCAAAATAGATTCCATTACCTCTCAGACCTCTCATTCTCACCCACTGTATATTCCACTCCCAATCTTTCTAAATCCAGACCTGAAGTTTAATTTTCTTCCTTCAGCATTGAATAACATTGTCCTCACTTACACAGCATTATCACTGGTTTGGCTTGGTTTGCTTCTTGCCTCTTTGATCACAATATAGTTGTGCCCAGTGCTTGGCCTCCACAGCCAGGACACTATGTTTCTGCCACAGTAATGATAGGTAGGAAGTGTCCTAGTGGAGTCCTGTAACCTCACAGACCCTTCCTGGCTTTCTGTACTCCCTGGACCATAGCTATTCTTGCAATCTGCTGCCCTCCCTATGCAGAAGCTCTGCCCTCATGAGGTTTACATTCATGTGAGAGAGAAGGACCACAAACATATAACATAAGAGAGAGCTAGCAGGGAGGGGAACATCAGGCTCAGGAATGAGAAAGACCCTAGTGAAGACAATTTTTAGCTCAAGACCCCAATGAGGATGTGATATTGGGATTCTGTCTGAAACTTCAAGCTGTGTGATTGCCATAAGTAGAAGAAAACTGTTTGAAATATGGTTCTCTCTGAAAGATTTGATTTGGGAGAAGAAAGCTATGTCAGCAAATGAAATTTTCAATTGAGTCTAAGGAAAGTATTTCTGAGAACATAGTTTATTTTTTATGTTGCCATGGTAACTGAAACATCAGCCCACCCAGTTGTACGTATGCACTGCATGGACATGAACTCATGATTGTTTGTATGTAGAAATGCTTCTGTCTGTTATATCACATGGCAAGGTAATGTGTCTAGAGGTGACACTGACAAGGGAGACATGTCACCATGCAAGTCTGAAATCACATCTTTTTTAAAGGCTAAAGGACACAAAGGAAATGGCTTAACATCAGTAGGAACAGGAATGTTTAGAATGGTGAAAAATTCATCAACATTATGATCCAGTAGACTTGTTTAGCTATATAAATGAGAGAGGAAATGGAATTTGGGAAAGACAAGCAAAAAGAATCCAGTACAGATAATGAACAAGCTTGGGGCTGAACAGACTGATCCCTTTAGCTTTGGGAGGCAGTACACCATGGTAGATGTAAATATGGACCCAGAAATCAGACATTTCTGGATTCCAATCCCAGCTCTGCTGTTCACTATTTAGGAAAATTATTTATGCTTCCTGAGTCTCGGTTTGCTGATGTGTGGTATTAACACTCACCTTACAAGTTTAGGAGAATCAAGAGACAACATATGAAAGCCAATTATCACAGTGCCTAAGAAATTCTCAATTAATGAACATGATGATAATTATAATTAGTTCCAAGGGAGGAATCAAAGCCAGTAAGAGAGAGCTTGTTGACAAAGAGATTTAAGTCATGTCATAAGGCAGTGATGGCGAACCTTTTACAGCTTTCAATGATAACAGCCCACTGTGGCAAAGGAGCAGTAGGTTCGCCACCACTGTCATATAGTGAACTGAAGTCTCTATTAGGGGAAAAGTAGATTCAAGATCTCTCTTTGAGGACCAAGAGACAGAGCGAAAGAGGAGGAAAGGGATGAAAGGGGGATGTGAAAAGAATTCAAATAGGTTTTGTACATGTACCAGATATGTTTTTTTTTAAAAAAACAAAAAACATTTTTCATTTTAAAAAGTATTTAGGTCACATAAAACAAGGCAACATTTATTCCTTTTTCTCGTCTTCCGGGAAGGAGTCTGTGGGTGGCTCCTCCACGGTGGCGCTGTTGCTCTCTGAGCCAGTGTTGCTGTCGCTGGTCCCCTCCTCCGCCATGATGTGGACGCCTTCCTGGCTGCTCTCCTTGTCCACGGGAGTAGACAAGCCCTCCTCGCCGTTCTGCTGGCTCTCTGCGGCCTCTTCAAGGTGTGTCTCTTCTGTGTCCATCGGGATGCTCTCGTCGTCCTTCTTCTCCTCAGCCTTGCCGGCCGCGGGCTCCTCCTCGGGGGCCAGGCTGCCCTGGCTGCGCTCCGCCTGCTCGGCCACCTCCTTCTCCCTCTCCTCCTGCCTCTTGCGGGCCTGCTCCTCGGCCTGGGCGATTTCCGACGCGATCTTCTCCACATCCACTTCCACCTTCAGAAGGCACAGCCTTTTAAGTTCATTGTTGAACGAGTCTGTGCTTTCCAGGAATTTCCTCTTCTTTTCCTGGTGCCGCTCCTCTATTTGAAGAAGTTCAGCTTCCAGCTTTCGCTGGTGGACCATGAGGGACTGGACCTGGCGCTTGAGGACCTGCACTGTAGCTGTGGTGACGACGGACCGGAAGTCTGGCACTACGCTCTCGCTGAGGATCTAGCTGATGAGGCGGTTCCTCTGGAAATGGGCGGTGGCTGTGTGTTTCATGGAGAAGCCATCATCGTAATCGTCCCGGTCTTCCGCAGGCTGGATGCTCATGTAAGGTTCCCCTTTCTCCATGCACGACTGTCTCTGCCGGCTTTCTTCCTCTGGCCCAGCTTCTGCAAGGCTTTTTGCATTGATGTACGCAAGGTACGCAGGGGAGTTATGATAAGCCTTCATAGATTCATTGTACTCTATCTTTTCTGCTTCGTATTCTTTTAAATATTCTTGTTTCTCTTCATCAGTGAGATCTCGCCACATGCCACCAATAGTTGCCAATCTCCCACAACTTTAGGTCAGGGTTGGAAGCCTTTACTTGGTCCCAGACCTTTCTGCTGTACCTCATGTAGTGCATCAGTGGCTTGTCTGGTGGCTTTGGGGGTTTTGGAATCGTAATACCAGAGGATGCCGTGACCCGGCTGTTGGTGCCCGGGTTCCCTCCCAGCCTGTAGTTGTTGTAGGCGAGATGACTGTATGTATGGATTGTATCCCACAAACCCTGGTGTACTGGGCATTTGTGTTGCAGGAGCTGGGGTGGGAGGTGGGGCATAAGATGGTCTTTTTGACATTTTGTAAGATTAAGTTCTCAGTTCCTTAAGAATGAAACTGAAACACCACGGGCCAAGCTGGTGACGCAGCTCCGATTCCTCCTCCTTTGTCCCACACTCACCCCGCCCCTCACCAGATATGTTTTATACAAAGGAAAAAGTCTCTCTTTGAATATGTGATGGGTTGTCATATGGAAAATGGATTTAAAAGTGCTTTATATTCCTCCAATGGGTAGACTTTAGATCTCAGATGAAGGATATACAGAGAAAACTTGTGGCTCCATCTATGAAGGACTTTGGTGTGAAACAGCTGCCTTGGTAAGCTGTTTCACCCAGGGAAAGAAGTGCTCCTGGAAGGGTGTGAGTGTGTGTGTGTATGTGTGTGTGTGTGTGTGTGTTAGCAGAGTGACCTTTGGCAGGGTCATTGTCAGGCTATGGTGTTAAGGTCACTTGCAGTGTTAGAGTCCTAGTCTGCGTTATTCAACTGTGTCCTGGGAGTATGATCAAATGCATATTACTCACCTCTTGAACACTGTGTTGGGATGAGAGGAAGAAAAGGGGGTGCAAAAAATAGAAAGCAAAATTCCTCTTTTGAAACATTTTCAGCATCCTTAGGAAAAACAAGATACACAATTCACCTTAATTCATTAAATATTTATTAAAGCTGACTTTGTGATGAAGCCTGTGCTTGTCAGTAGGAAGTCAGAGAGGAATTGGGATAGCCACAAGGATCCTGGGGATGCATCTGTTAGAACAAGTAGCATAAAACAATAAAATGGTGTATACTAAGGGCAACATAAAATTTTTTCACTATGCATTACACACTATGAATGCAGAGGAAAGAGAAATCCTTGACTTTGAGCAGGCACATAATTATGTATAATCAGTAATGCCTTGGTGAATACTTTGTACACATGATTCTCTTGACTAATCTCAATAAGATGTGTTTGTATTTTGTGCTAATATTTTCTGCAAACATAGCTCTAGGACAGAAGAAACAGGACTTGGGGATTTCAGCTAGGAGAGAAAAGGCCAGGCCCTTTTGCCTCCTCTAGCAAGTACAGTAAAGGCAGAAAGATTGGAAAGCAGAAAACAAAGCATCCTGTAAGGGGCATAGAGATAAGCACTTTTCAAATGTGATTTTGTTTTGTATTTTTATTTAATTGCTCCTCATTATGTAGGTAATTTAAAGATTACTCAATTCTTTTAAAAGTTTAGAGCAGGCAGAGGAGCAGAGCCCCCCCCCCGTACCAAGTGCCTGAGCCTTTCAGGTCACCATACCACCACCACCACCCCCAGCACACAGGAGCAGAGCCCCTCGAGTGCAAAGGAGGTGAGCCACACAGGTGCCAGCAGGGCACACACACACACACACACACACACACACACACACACCTTGAAATGAGAAGACACATAAACAAATCTCAAAACCAGACTTCCAGATCATCTAAAGCAACCCGAAAGGGAAACAAGATGGAATAATCTGATACTCAACCACCTGAACTGCCTGAACTGGCAACAAAAGAGGATCTGGAAAAACTGAAATCAGGGCCAGGGATTTAGCTCAGTGGTTTCACTGCCTGCTGCGCAAGTGCAAGGACCTGAGTTCAATCCCCGGCACCAAAAAAAAAAAAAAAAAGAAATCAGAAATAAGTTCTCACATAACAGCAGAGATTGTACCCATAGGGCAAGACATGATAAATAAATCTAGAGAGGACATAAATTTAAAAAATAGAGGAGCTGAGGAACATGATGGAATCCCAACACAGAAAATAAATGGAATCCATAAAACAGATGCAAATAGATTTCCAGGAGATTAAAAACTCCATTGTAAGTCTACACAGCAGAATGAACCAATGTGAGGACAGAATTTCATATACAGAAGATAAGATTTCAATTAGTGACCAGGAAAAAAAAGTTGCTTTAAAATTGTAAAGGACCACGAGAAATCAATCCAGCAGTTCCTAGACGATGCAAAGAAGAATAACATGAGACTGATCAGAGTCAATGAAGAAACAGGAGAGACAATAGATGACATAAAAAAAAGTTCACGGAAGTAATGGCAGAAAACTTCCGAAGAGGGAAAAAGAACTTGACATACAGATAAGTGAGGCATATAGGACTCCAAATAGCCTTGATCAAAAAAAAAAAAATCTACACAGAGACATATAATAGTTAAGATTCAGAAACCCAACAGAAGAAGAAAATTCTACAAGCAGTTAGAGAAAAGAAAAGAAAATCACATACAAAGGAAAGCCCATCAGAATCACAGCAGACTTATTAACAAAAACCCTCAAGTCAAAAAGAGCTTGGAGTGACCTATTTGAAGCCCTAAAGGAAAACAGCCTCCAACCCAGATTGAAGTACCCTGAAAAACTGATTTTCAACATTGATGGAGAAACAAGATACTTTCATGACAAAGAGCACCTTAGCAACTTCATGGATACGAAAGTAGCACTCCAAAAAATTTTAGACAATATCCTAGGAAAAGACAACGAGGATCCAACCCCAGGAAGCACAGCAGAATGAATCTGTCTGGTGCAACAAGAAATTAAATGCAAAGGGGGAGAATCCAACAAACAGAAAAAGTCATGACAATGATAAGTCAATATGTATCAGTTATAACCATCAATGTTAATGGTCTCAATTCACCAATCAAAAGAAAAGGTCAAGAAGCAAGATCCAACAATATGCTGCATAAAAGAAACACACTTAATTCAAAAAGACACTAACAGACTGAAAGTTAAAGGGTGGAAAACAATACACCATGCTACAGGAACCCGAAAAAAAGCAGAAGTAGCTATTCTCTTTGTAGATCAAGTGGATTTTTTTTTTTGTACCAGGATTCAAACTCAGGCCCTTCTGCTTGGGAGGCAGGCAGCAGAACCTCAGCCCTCAAGTGGATTTCAAACCAACACTGATTAAAAGAACAAAGAAAGGCACTACATCCTTGTAAAGGGAACAATCCAGGAGAAAGAAATGACAATCACAAATATTTATGCACCAAACACTAGTGCATCCAACTATATAAAACAAATACTAATGGACATGAAATATCAAATAAGCACTAATACAATAGTACTAGGGGACCTCAATACCCCACTATCACAAATAGATAGATCAACTAGACAAAAATTAAATGAGGGCCAGGGATTTAAGTCAGAGCTTCTGCTGCCTGCCTCAGAAGCACAAGGACCCGAGTTCAATCCCTGGTACCAAAAAAAAATAAAACAAAACAAAAAAAAAGCAATGAAATACTAGAACTCAATCAAACTCTTGAACAAATGAACTTAACACATGTTTACAGAGTGTTCCACCCCACAAAATCAGAACACACATTCTTTTCAGCTGCACACAGGCCATTCTCCAAAATACACTACATACTCGCTCATAGAACATGCTTAAGTAAATGCAAAAGAATGGAAGTTATCCCCTGTATATTATCAGACCATAGTGCAATGAAATTGGAGATCCATAGCAAAAGAAACTCAAAAAATTTCTTAAACACATGGAAATTGAACATAAACAATACACCACGCTACAGGAACCCAAAAAAAAACGCAGAAGTAGCTATCCTCTTCTGTATGTTATCAGAACATAGTGTGATGAAATTGGAGATCAATAGCAAAAGAAACCACAAGAATTTCATAAATACATGGAAACTCAACAACACATTTCTGAATAACCAATGGGTCACAGAGGAAATTCAAGAAGAAATCAGACAGTTCCTTCAATTAAGTGACAATGACAACACAACATATGGGAATCTATGGAACACAATGAAAGCAGTCTTATGAGGGAAATTCATAGCAGTGAATACTCGTATGAGGAAAACAGAGGGAGCCCAATTAAACAACATGATGCTGAACCTCAAGTTTCTATAAAAGAAGAGCAGGACAAACCCAAAGCTCATACAAGGGAGGAAATTATAAAGATCACAGCAGAGGGTTCCACACTACAAAGACGCAGAGGACACCAGGACACCAGACCACCAGACCAAGGTACTGAGTCCCACTGCTCCTGGCCCAGAGGCAGGGGCTTCTGAGCCCCTGTCCCACTACTCCTGGTCCAGAGGAAGGGTATTCCCAGTCACTATCCCTCCCACTGCTCCCAGCCCAGAGGAAAGGGCTTTTGGGTCACCATCCCTACCGCTGCTCCCAGCCCCTGTCCCACCTCTCCCAGCTCAGAGGAGGTAATCCGTGCAGGCGCTAAC